TAATTCTATGGAGTCTTTAGTAGTCAGCTAGGATCATAGGAAAGGTTTGCAAAAATTAGCAAAACAAAAATGTTACAAAACCTGAACTGCGCGATTTTAAGCCATTTCCATCTTTATCGAAACAGTTGGCCTTCGTTTCGTTAACTATAACAACGCGTCAGAATTGTTACGAAGATTTCGAACGTAATCTACTAAATATAGTCGTTGTGCAGTTCCATGAAATCGAAATAAAACTCTACCGTAAAATTCTACTGTAATTTTAATGCGACAGCCATCAATTTCCTCTGTCACCTAGGAATTCATTAACCGCAAAAAAAAGTGCCAATTGACGTAGCTGCGAAAGAAATCGTAGCGCAGAACAGTGACAGAAACGAGCGGAAGAAAAAGGTAGTGAAAAGACCAGTGGAAAAACCAATAGACTTTCAAAATTTATTCGCATTTTATCTTCAGCTAATATTTCTGTGACGATTGACTGCGAAAGAAATGATCCTAAAGCACACATTCGAGCTACTTAATGCAGTATAACGTGGTTGAGTTATGTAAGAAGTTTAGCATTAAGGATTCGATGTAACCGGAAGACTTTCGAAATCGAAATCTACTAAATAAAGAATTAAATAATAATAAATAGAATCATTTTCGGCTCGTTTAAATCATTGAACGAACAAATCGATAACTGTTTTTTCTTGCAGTCGACCTTGCGGAGAACATTGATGTCAAATAATTGACATGGTTAAGAGTTAACACTAAATCTACCTAACTTCAAACGTAATTAATCTGTATTATTTTATACCGACGAAAAAAAACTATGCTTACTTAGACCTTTCGCTATTTTTATTAAAATGTCTGATTCTGATTGATGTCAAATGATTAACATGGTTAAGAGTTAACACTAAACCTACCAAGCTTCAAACGTAATTAATCTGTATTATTTTATACCGACGAAAAAAGACTATGCTTACTTAGACCTTTCGCTATTTTTATTAAAATGTCTGATTCTGATTGATGTCAAATAATTAACATGGTTAAGAGTTAACACTAAACCTACCAAGCTTCAAACGTAATTAATCTGTATTATTTTATACCGACGAAAAAAGACTATGCTTACTTAGACCTTTCGCTATTTTTATTAAAATGTCTGATTCTGATTGATGTCAAATAATTAACATGGTTAAGAGTTAACACTAAACCTACCAAGCTTCAAACGTAATTAATCTGTATTATTTTATACCGACGAAAAAAGACTATGCTTACTTAGACCTTTCGCTATTTTTATTAAAATGTCTGATTCTGATTGATGTCAAATAATTAACATGGTTAAGAGTTAACACTAAACCTACCAAGCTTCAAACGTAATTAATCTGTATTATTTTATACCGACGAAAAAAGACTGTGCTTACTTAGACCTTTCGCTATTTTTATTAAAATGTCTGATTCTGATTGATGTCAAATAATTAACATGGTTAAGAGTTAACACTAAACCTACCAAGCTTCAAACGTAATTAATCTGTATTATTTTATACCGACGAAAAAAGACTGTGCTTACTTAGACCTTTCGCTATTTTTATTAAAATGTCTGATTCTGATTGATGTCAAATAATTAACATGGTTAAGAGTTAACACTAAACCTACCAAGCTTCAAACGTAATTAATCTGTATTATTTTATACCGACGAAAAAAGACTATGCTTACTTAGACCTTTCGCTATTTTTATTAAAATGTCTGATTCTGATTGATGTCAAATAATTAACATGGTTAAGAGTTAACACTAAACCTACCAAGCTTCAAACGTAATTAATCTGTATTATTTTATACCGACGAAAAAAGACTATGCTTACTTAGACCTTTCGCTATTTTTATTAAAATGTCTGATTCTGATTGATGTCAAATAATTAACATGGTTAAGAGTTAACACTAAACCTACCAAGCTTCAAACGTAATTAATCTGTATTATTTTATACCGACGAAAAAAGACTATGCTTACTTAGACCTTTCGCTATTTTTATTAAAATGTCTGATTCTGATTGATGTCAAATAATTAACATGGTTAAGAGTTAACACTAAACCTACCAAGCTTCAAACGTAATTAATCTGTATTATTTTATACCGACGAAAAAAGACTATGCTTACTTAGACCTTTCGCTATTTTTATTAAAATGTCTGATTCTGATTGATGTCAAATAATTAACATGGTTAAGAGTTAACACTAAACCTACCAAGCTTCAAACGTAATTAATCTGTATTATTTTATACCGACGAAAAAAGACTATGCTTACTTAGACCTTTCGCTATTTTTATTAAAATGTCTGATTCTGTTAAGAAATTTCTTCAACGTTTTTCTACGAAAGAGTTTTTATTGTTTCAGCGATATTAAAATGAAAAAATGTGAAACCGGTCGTTTCGACCGGCTCGGTAGGTTTAGCGTTAAACATGGCGGCCAGGTTCGCGGAGGGGGATACTCACCCATGAGGTAATTTCGTATGGTTTTGACCCACGAGGCCACCTGTCGCGGATCGGTGTGGCTCATGGTGACGCTGTGGTGGCTCCATTTATTCTTTGGTCCCCGTACTGCGTAGTGTAAAATGAAATTTGTCGGGCAGACCGTGGGGGATGCCGGCGAGGTCGGGGGTTGCTTCTCTTTCACGTTCACCCCGTGTATCCAATCATCCCCGTAGCGCACGGCTAACACGTCCGACATGGGCAACGTCCATCTAGCTGGAAATTGCAAAAAAAAAGAATACCCTTTTAACTTCCGGAAATTACGGCCGGCTAATTTGCGAAATTAAAAGAATAGCTTGCCCTCGGCAAACCAGCCCCGATAGGCTACGAGCATTTTCTTTGACGGCGAATTACAATTAGCCGCCCTACTAAAACACGGAGTTTCCTTTGGACTCCTGGCAAATTAGCTGAAATTGTTTGCCATGGTTAGAAAGCACTCTCGTAGGATCTTTCTCGGCGCGATCAGTGGCCGGAAATTACGGGCGGCTGATTTGCAAAACTAATGAACGTCGTGACTGAAAAATTGTTGTTAGAATATCAAGGTCCCGACAACTAATTGAAATCTCCACGTGTTTTGTCAACCGTAGAATTATCGAAACAGTCAAAAGAACTAATTTCTGACTTGTTTCTTTTACAGTTTAACATTATACAAATGTTTCTGTGAGAATTTATTAGATAAACTTCTTTACTCGAGCACACATATTATAATTAAACTGCAGATTTTAAGCATTTATTGTAAAAATTAATCGATGAGATTTAAAGCATCAGAAAAAATCTAAACAATTAGTAAATGAAATTTAAAGCATCAGAAAAAATCTAAAACTTAGTAGATGAAATTTAAAGCACCAGAAAAAATCTAAAAACTTAGTAGATGAAATTTAAAACATCAGAAAAAATCTAAAAAATTAGTAAATGAAATTTAAAACATCAGAAAAAATCTAAAACTTAGTAGATGAAATTTAAAACATCAGAAAAAATCTAAAAAATTAGTAAATGAAATTTAAAGCATCAGAAAAAATCTAAAAAAACTTAGTAGATGAAATTCAAAACATCAGAAAAATACTAAAAATTTAACATTGTTTATTTATTATTTCAATTTACTAAATTGTTTAAAAAAAGAAGGGAACTTCTATTTGACTCTTGTCTACTGCAATTAATAAAGAACATTTTAACATAATAGAAATAATAGACATAAATAATAGAAATCGTGCGACGTTTAAATAAATTCAATCTTGTCATCATTATAAAACAATATAGATTAATCGCGAACTTGGTAGTCCTAGCGTTAAATTATCAAGCAAGGATACTTTCAAATAAAATATTAAATAAAATTAGTATAAATGATTTTAATAAAATCAATGCCACCAACAAAATATCCGAAACTCGTCCAAGCCTCGTCGGAAGAATAATTTCCCGAGGATGTGTAAATGTTTGGAAACGTTCGAGAAAGAGTACGGCAATTTGCGCGTAGTGCAAACGTTGGAAACACAATTCTGCCGACAGCCAGCGTGAGCATTAAGGATAAAGTAGCGAACAGCAGGAAGAAATGCGCGGCAATCAATGCTGTCGACTCGGACGGCAGGAAACAAAGGCTTGGTTTACGATCCCCTAACAGCTGTCATTTAATATTGCAACAGAACGCGACAAAAGCGGACTCGCCGAGTCCACGTGCGTTGCATAATTAAGCGCCGTGACCCCGGAGTCTATAGATTCTCGAGCATCCGTTCAAGATCACGGATCTATGTTGTATGTTTAGTTGTCCGCTTTCATTTCGGATGACATCTTCGAGACCGTTCGAAGTCATAATTTTCGCAGGAAAGTCCAAGACAAGTGAACATTGGAGGCGAAGATAAGCGGAGATATAATCGACGGCGATAAGGCGATCACTGATATCAGCAGGCCTTATCGGACTTCCCTTTGTTTTCGTTTTCTCCCGAATTTTTCGGCGAACATTTTTGCCATTCCAAATGCTAGGGTCGAGGCGCCAATTACTGTGCCCCGTTGGCGGACTTACGGAGTTTCCGCTACTAAACAGAACTTCAGCAATTTAAATGACATTTCTTGAAGACTCAAAGGTAAATTTCTTTTGTCGATAACAATTTTCCCACGACACAAGCATCGAATCTCCTTTGAATATTAGCCCTTAGTTTGAATATTAATTATTGAATATTACTGTCTTCTTAATCTTTTTCATAAGCTTTACGGAAAATTTCGCGAGAATTCGGTATCAAAATATTGAAATAATTTTTGCGATATTTTAAGAACTTCCGTCTTTTACGTATGTAATTTCAACGAATAAATAATGAATTGAATTTAAATAAGAAAAATTTGATACGTCTTGTACGATGAATATAAAGTTAATTACACTTGAAGACACACAAAAGTCGCAGTGATATCGGTTACACGCAGTAACGTTCTTCGAACAAAAGGAATTCTATTGTCGTCGATTTTCTCAAGCTTTCATTCTAGAGGTCACGTTTACTACAGCTCACACGCTTTTCTAACTTCATTAATGATTTCCGACTGCTTTCTATGAATTATCCGGTGCCTCGGGGGTCTATAAACCTCCATTAACCGGCTGCAATTTCATTTCAATTTCTAAACACCTTCGTTAATTTTTCTTTAATTGTTGTCCACAGTCCGAATGAATCAACTTAATTACAACAGCTATCTTTTAATCGCTTCTAATCACCTCCACGAGACGTTTAAGCTGTCGCTGTTCTCAATAAATCATTTTTCACGATGACAGCTGTGCTCTGATTACTCCTAATCATCTCCACAATTTTTTCAGCCGTTCTTGACCTTCCGCATCGAATTGGATCGACGACCACTTTCACAGATTTCTTTTGCCTGCCTTGACCTTTACTTGCTGAATCAACTCGGACGGCTATAACTGACCTTCGAATACTTCTGATAACGTTCCCTCAGCCTTCCGACAACCCCATGGACCCTTAACTCCTCTGATCCCCCTAGTAACCATCCTCTCGACAGCATCGATAGCCTTCTAAACCCCTTTAGATCACAATGATTGTCTCCCGAGATGATTCTCGGCCGTCGGCCTGTTTGCTAAACAACGATCATCCTCCGCGATAGCTCCGAAGCCATTCTGATCCTCTGATACTCGTGCTTCTCTCGACATTGTTCTCTCATTTATTTATTTACACTGTGCTGTCGGTACACGTCCCGAGCAAACGTTATCTGAAACCGACGATACTGTGCCCGGAGAGGCGTGAACCACACGCGACTCGTCCGAGCGCCTGATAACGCGATTGTATAACTGATAAGGGATCGCAAATATCAGTTATCCCAGGTAATAGTCGACTTTCAGGAAAAGCTTGCCGAACGTATCTTGCAAGTTTCGCGTTTAATTCGCGTATACTGGTCAACAAAATTATAGCATAGAGAACAATTTTGGATAAAAATTGGCAAACTTCGACTGACGATAACTCCGCGAAAAATCATCGTAGGATAAAGGCTCTTTTTTCAAATTACAGCTTGAAACCTCTACTTTAAAATAATGTGTCTGAGTTTTAAGTTTGATGCACTCACACCGCTGTAATTATTCAAATGTGAAGCCACGTTTGCGACATTGAAAATTGTCATTGGCGACATTGAAAAATGTTTGACGAAATGCACGGACTTCGTAAAATTTTTGTCGAAGATGCCGTTCGCAGTCGAATGAAATGTAATCCTTCCTCTTTAATTAGAAGAAAGCGAAACGCGGCTGCGATTTTTTTTCGCAAAGTTACGGCACTTTGAAGTGACCTGATTTTCAATGCAAAATTTTTCAATGCTGTAATTTTTTGGAGTAGTGTATTAATATAATGCAACATACATTATTATAATATAATTTGTTAAAAAGACGACGTTTACGAAATTGGAACAACGAGAAGTGCCAACCTTTTAGAACAATAAGTAAAGTATTCAAAATAGTAAGAATATCTTTCATATTTTTCTTATCTTCTTTTCTACAAATTTTTCGTAATTCACGACCTCGTTATTAAAAAATCGCTTTGAACACGGTTAACGTATATTGTTTTATAATAGTGACAAGATTGGATTTATAATTTCGTATAATTTCTATTATAACGTATGCTTGACTGATGAAGATCGTCTAAAAATCTGTCACAGAAACATTTTGATAATGTCAGAAAGTGTAAAAGAAAAATTCAGAAACCAGTCATTTTGACTGATTTGATAGTTCTAGTGTTAAGTAATCGGTTGGAAGTAGTTCGAGAAAAACATTTGCATGTCAAAGCGAAATGCATGTCAACAATAGCCTGATCGATCGGTGGATCCTCTGGATCTCGTGTCACGTGCAGCCACGGTTCACGCACCGACGACGCAGCGTGATCGCAATTGTTAATGATCGAACGATCGATCGATCGATCGATCGATCGATTGCCGGGTTCCTCGAACTTTTCTCGAACGCGGGGGTCCCGGACGAATTTTCATCCGGCTCGAGTTCGAAACGAATCGACTTTCTCGGGCTCGCGTGACGCCCGCGAGCCGCGCCCAGCGAAATAAATCGCATTGTCAACAGCCGCGTTGAACCCCGGGACGACGAGGACGGTTGAGAAACTTTTGATGCCGCGCGATAACTCCGATCGAAGCGTTCCCGCCGACTTCCACGATCGCGTTTCCCATTTACGAGACTCGAACCGGCTGTTAATTATACTTTCACCGAGCCGGGCGAGTTTCTGAACTTGCTATATTCCATCGAATTTACTCGCGACGGAGTGAGACAGTTTCTGCGACGTGCGAAATTATTGTTGGGATTACTGAAAATTTGTTTAATTGATTTCATGTTTCATTCGTGCTGTTGCTTTCTCGAATTCTGCAGAGGTGCGCCGATAATAGGGGTTGTCCGTCGACTAAAAGTAGTTTGATTGTTGATAACGATAATTGCCGTTGTGTAACGATAATTGCTGTTAAATAACGCAGTTGTCTCTTTGTTAATATTTCATTAATTCTTCAGCCTTCGCTTGTTCGGTCACGCCATTTGTTTGCCTGATAAATTATTCTGTAACTGGATTGTCGCAAAAGTAATATCAGTTTTTCAGATAGATAGCATACAAAAAAACGGAAATTACTTTTGCAATAAATAAATATTAGGTGGGCGTTTAAAGTAATTTGTTAAGCGATCAAATGGCGCGGCTGAGCAAGTGAAGAGCTAAGGATGAATAAAATATTAACAAAAAGACAATCGCGTTATT